GAGTGTTTGGTCACCACGTTCAGATTAAAGCATGTTTTTTTCATCTGACACAAAGTTCCTGGAGGAAAATTAATGAACTTGGATTAAGTGCGACTTATAAGCAAAATGAAAACATAAGACACTTTGTAGGAATGGTCGATGGGCTCGCCTTTCTACGAATCCAAGATGTGGAAGAAGGGATAATTTATTTGTTAAATAACATCCCAAATAATGATGACGACATAAGAAAATTTGTCAATTATTTTGATGAATTTTATTGTCGTGGAAAATTAAGAATAGTGCCCGGCAATAATCCACTCACCATACTTTTGAGGAGGACACCACCAGTATTTCCCCCTGAACTTTGGAACATGAATGAAATAACAGTTAGTGGGAATGCTCGAACAAACAATATTTGCGAAGGCTGGAACAGTTCTTTTAGGAGTTTAGTGGGCCATTCTAACCCGTCAATTTGGAACTTACTGAGAGCTTTCCAGTTAGACAGATCGATGAATATCAATGCATTTAATCAACTTCAAGAAGGTCGACCAACCTTGAAAAAAACATCTCAACACACAATTAACCATCAACGAAGATTGCGAAACATTTGCAACGATCTGAATAATGAGTTTGTTACCATACCCATAGCTTTACAAGCGATAGGACATACCATACTACTTACAAGAGATTACGATTACATTTAAAAACTCTGTTTTTAATACTTAATTTGCAATGATTTCTCCTGTTTACAATTATACAATGCATCTTTTATTAGTAATTTTATCAATCAATCAAATCAATCAAAATACATTTATGTAGAGCAGTTTCCCAAATTCAATTGCGCTCAAACTAAACTAGCAAAATAAACCACCTCCGTCAAGAAAATAAAATAGGAATAAAAATTGAAATAAAAAAAACACAGCATTTAAAAATACATTAAAGAAAATCATATGATAGAGTAATAACAGTAATAATTTTAGTTTTTAATCGGATTGGGTGATGTTTTTTCCGGGTGAAGTTTTTTCATGGTGATGTTTTATCTGGGTGATGTTTTTTCCGGGTGAATTTTTATCCAGGTGATGTTTTGTCCTCTAACTTTTTTGGGGTGACTTTTTATCCAGGTGATGTTTTTTCCGATTACCGAACGATTTATTTCATTTTCTTGTTTACTTGATCGGCGTTGCACGTTTTATTTGTTTCTTCGTAATTGGTTACTTGTTATTCGGATTTAATTATCAAAAAATTTCGGAAGGAATAATATTTTGTAATAATGGTGAATAAATGTATTGTTCCGTTTTGCCAAGGGAATTATACAATTGAACAAAAAGTACATTCCTTTCGTTTTCCTAAAGATGAACACATGTTTCAAAAATGGATATCTGCAATTCCGAGAAAAGATTGGAAACCTACTTTGCATTCACGAGTAAGCATGATCTATTGAATAAAGTGCATTACCAGGATTTCAGATTTTAACTAAATTCCTTACATTGTTACAAAATTATAATACATTACATAGCTATGTTATTTGTTTTATTATTATTAGTTGTAATGTGAGTGAGTAGCATGTTTTATTGAAATTTATTAATTTTATTATTAATTTAATTTCAAATAATAATTATATTTTTTTTTCTAAGGTATGTGAAAAGCACTTTCCAGCTGAGGCCATCATTACTAAAAAATCTTCATTTGATGCTAAATCTGGAAAGATGATTTTGACTTCTCTCGAGAGGCCAAGATTAAAAAAAGATTCAGTTCCTTCAATATTTCCTGGATGCCCAGACTACTACAGCACATCAGTAACTCTCAGGGTATCGCCGGATAAAAAGAGGCAGCGATGGAAAGTTTGAATATTGACAATGCAATTACAAAAAGTCTGATGGAGCACAGTCAATATTTAACAAAAAACAAAATAAATAGTTTTTCTGAATTGTATTTTTGTTCATTCATTTTAAGTTATAACTGTGTTGCGTTCCCTTTTCTAGTTATCTCATTGGTCGTTCACTTACAGCTGTGTTGCGTTCTCTTTTTTAGTTATCTCATTGGTCGTTGTTTATGTGCATTCTCTTTTTCATACATATCTCTCGCATTTATAATGTGTTTTCAATTGCGTTGTAGGCACTGTCGCAGGATTTTGCCTAAATTTTAATATATTTATTTAATATAAATTTATTTTAATAAATTTATTTTACTATTTATTAACTCAATATATTACTATGTTAACATATTTAGATACAAAATAAACAATTTAAAATTCTTCTATTTTAATCTCAATCAATTTTCTGCATATTATAGGAGGCGCTTTTGTAACTCTCTATTAGAGAAAGTGATGTAAACAATCGTAAATGTAAACAAATTTTAACATTGTAGGTCTGAAACTCAACGATTGCTTTTAAAAGTTTAAAATTATTAAAATTTATTAAAGAAGAGGAGAATAAAACTAAATGTTGCAAAATTAACCTAGTCTCTATTTTAACTCTTTTTTTTACGCTTTTGGGGCTTACCCAGTACTGATCTCAGATTTTGCCCGTGGCAATTTTCAAACTCATTTGGAAATGTACACATGCAGCACGTGGACTAAAATAAAAGCAATGCAGAATCCCCGTCTATGTCCATGCACATGGACACTATGAATTAATATTAAATAATCTGAAGTAGAAAATTTGTCCAAGACATACAACATATCTGAACTGTTCTAATACTATTTAAAAATGATTATTACACAATAAAATACAAAATTTTGCGCTGTAATACTTTAAAAAAGGACAAAAAACGGCCACAAACCTATCGGTCTTCCGTAAAAACCTCTCGGTGTAAAAGCCGCCATTCTGGGATATTCCGGTGAAACAAAGAAATGAAAATTGTTTATAAAACACGTCTACAATTATGGAAAACCATTTTTATAACTAACTTCTGAAAATTTTTATAAGCGGATTTTCTCATCGTCCATGCATGTAAACTCTGGAACCGAGAAGACTAGTAAGGTTTGTCAACGTTAGCAATTTGTGCTAATGGATCTATCAAAACAATGTTTAAAATAAATAAAACCTATTCCATTTTTACAATAGAAATTTTAACAAGAAACAAAGCTGGAATGATGGCAGAGGATGAAAACCGAGTCAAAAACTTTTCTGAACTAGGAAATATATCATTGAAACTCTCATCCAAGATGGATCTTAATAAATCTGTAGTGGTCAAAGCAATGAAATTAATTGCAGATGAAATTGTGAATGGAAATGAAATCATAACAAACAGAACCTGCAAAGTTAAAGATAAGGAAAAGGAGGATGAACCAACAGATGAAATAAGAGTCAGAAATCAAAAAATGGAAAAAAAACAAACGAAATTGCATAATGAAACTGTGAAAAAATTGTTTCGCTTCAACTAATTTGGTCCAAACAGCTAACAAAAAATGCAATGTGATGGCAGATAGATATTTATGCCTATAGCCGACGTAGATTATGGAACGACGTCGAAAGAATTAGAAGAACATTTTGTGACCTGTGGTCCAATTAAACGGACTACTATTTTATGCGACAAATTCAGTGGTAAACCTAAAAGATTTGCTTTTTTGGAGTTCTTAAAAAAAGAGTCTTTAGTTCTAGCCAGCGAGTTGAACAGGTCAATGATCAATGGAGACGCCAGACGGAGGCCGAAAGGTGCAGCAGGTAGAGGCCAAACTCTACAGATATTCTCAACCTGTTTTGATCAGTACCCTCTTGTAAACGAAAGTTTATACAGAGGTAGAGGTCACAGGAGGTCGATGAGAGGTTGCCGATACACTCCTTATTGAAACACAAATATTCAGATTGTACGTCGTTGAATTTTAAAGCTAATTTGTGATAAGAGAATAATTTTTAGTTGTGTTCTTCTGTTTATTGAATGAAATTAACTTAAGGTTTATTCAGCCTTAAAATTGTTAACAGCTTGGAAATTAATATACTTTTTGTGATACAACGCTGAAAATTTACGTTACATTTTTATTTGTAATTGTTAAAATTGCTTAATAATAATCTTCATTCCTAGTTATAAGTTGTTCAAATTACTGAAAAATTTAAAAGCATATGTTGTTGTCAAAAAACGTTTAGTAACCAAATTGGAAGTGTTGTTTTTTATAAGAGATAAATCATTGAATGGAGTTAGTAAAAATTGATTTTTTGCGTTTTGGGACCAGACAAACCACGAGTCAGATGCCTAAAACCTTAGCCCGGGTAAGCTTGAACAAAAAGAAGGTGTGTCAACTTTTTACGAAATTAAATAACAGACCACGCTATAATTCACAGTTCGACTTCATCATCCCACCACCAACTCAACTCCACAACTCCAACCTCTCCTTCCTACTACGAAATCCTTCGTTCCTTATACATCCATTAGTCTGTAAAAGGTGATTCACATTCACAGAAGGTAAAACAAGCGATAAACAATAACTTTTATAATTCAATTGTAAAATAATAATATTTTCTGTTGAATATAACCAAATATTGGTGAGTTTTGTAAACAAAAAAACCCACTAAGTTTATCATCAAAATTTACAGAAAAACGTGCGAAAAGCAAGTTTAAAAATAAAGAAGCAAATTTCATTTAATCGTGATTACCACCATGATGTCAAACATGTGGAGTGCATAGATTGAAAAACCTTTTGTTGTCTATGTCTATTATATTGAAAATGTTGTCTTTGCACATTTGAATGTTTACACTTTGACAGCTTCAACGGCTGAGTGGTAATAACAAGATTTTTTAAGCAACTGTTTGTTGTTTTTTTTTGTTTTCTATAAACAGAATTGTTTGCATCTGCCTCAGTTCCTCTTCAACATTGTCATTTTGTTAATAGACCAAAAATTTGCCACCATCATGAAAAAACTTGCCCGAAATTTGTTAAAAATTTATGACCCCAACATGAAATTTTTGGCTCTCACAAACAACTAACAAATATAAGCCAAATTTTTGTAATAAGCATATTGCTGATGAATTTACAATGAAAAATTTTTTAAAAAGTTTTATTATGTCTTTTTTTGAAACTAATTTTAAAATTTCAATTATTACAATGACAATAAACATGAATGGAAACATGAACATACTAAAACCTAAAATAACTTGCAGGAAGCTATTAATAAAACTGAACAATGAAAAATAATTAAGTATGCAAATTTTATTAGAAAATTTGCAACTTTCAACATTCAACGTGACTAAAATGAATTTTCCATCATGTTGGTCTTTTCAATGTAAATGGCGTATCGATTTAAATTTATGTTAAATATTGTCTTGTATTTGTAGTTTTTTTAATTTTTCAATATCGCTTTTCGGAGATCATTTCTCCATGAACCAAAGATAAAACAAATTATTGAAATGAAGTTCGAAATAATAAAGAAAAATTGTTTTCTTGTTCAAGTTTGGCTTGAAAGTCGATTCATTTTTTTTAATAGTTATTATGTATTGGAGAAATTTGTTTTGACTTTATTGCATATAATTGTATTTTTTTATTTTCAACTTTTCTTGTATAATTTTTGAAAATTAGTGAGAATGTTGTCTTTTAAATGTTAAAAACTATTAATACAACTATCATACAGTTTATAATATATTGTTATGTCAGCAAAGGTTTATTTAAGACTAATTTTTCACTAATCAAAAAGTCGATATTTTTGTATTAATATAATTTAATTAAAATTCATTAAAGTTTTAAAAAATATTCACCATCCACTTTGGTACAATAATTCCCAAACAATTTTTGACAGTTCTGCTATCGTTCAGCGTGATGCATTGCGAATACAGAGAACATTACTACAGAGATTATGACCAGACCTATTACACCCATGGCTTGGATGTTTTGGTTCTGTCTGCAGATGAAGCGAAGTATCATTGTGCTACAAAAGGGGGAGGTCGCCTGCCAGATGACGAGGGACGTGCTACTCTATTCTTCATGAAATTTTCTGAAGAGGGTAGAGAGATTTTGGTTTATTTCAACCGATTAAAAAATTGACTCAACTGAAACAATTTTTTTAGTTTAGTGTTTTAACATTCAATGAGAGAGTATTAAATGAGAGAAATCATATTTTAATTGATTGTGATATGTAAAGGTCAACCATCATATATATATTTAATTTCAGAAAAAGATTATGGATTTTTTGCCCTAGCACCTCGATTTGACCATGGCCAAATAGTGTTTCAAAAAAGCAACTGCGTTGAGTGTGATTTTCGCCAATACCACCCTAGAGGAGATCAAACCTATGGCGTCATTTGCATGAAAAGTAAGCTCTTTACGAACGTATTGAAGATGATTTTGTGTATGAATATTTGAATCATTTGCTTCTTAAATTGAACATCCAATTAAATCCATTCTCACTACATTGCTCATAGACTTAATGATAACAACACTTTTATAGATAATGATAAATATATATCAAAATCAAAAAATCAAAATCAAATCAAATTTTATTCAATCAATCCAAATTAATAACAATTAGGTAATGATTAGGAGACCAAAGCTAAAAGAAAACAAAATTCTTGTGTCGCAGGCCACCGTTCACAAATTGTTCATTCTAACACAATTTTTAAGTAAATTTATAATTCATGACCAAATTAACATAATGCACAATGTGCAAAATAATGCACAGAATAACAAGCATGTTGTTCTGCTGTTACATCAAAAGAACATGTGTACTTACATACACATACACATATGTATTCATCATTACACACGCGTAGCCACTCATGCAGGTATATTTACATTAACTCAAAGACAAAACGCCACATATTCCATAAGGTTCTTGGATATATCGAATTGAAAAAAACAACAGAAGAGTCATCTATTTCGATTTAATTCATTTACTTACTTAATGTTCAAAGGAAAAGTTCCCTGTCTGTCTATCAATCATAAGCCATCTCTGTTTCTTGTGTTGACCTTTTAAAAAGGAATTAATAATAAAAATTATAATTTAATAAATGATAACAACAACAACAATAATAATAATAATAATTTGTATAATAATAATAGTAGTAATAATATTAACAAATAGATGAAATACGTGATAAAAATTTATAAATAATCAAATTTTCGTCATAATGCATCAATATAATTATTCATGAATTTTTTTCTAACATTTTATAATTATTCAGGAGGCAAATTAACTACTACTACGATTGCAACTATTACTACTACGGCTGCTACTACTAATACTACAGCTGCTACGACTAATACTACAGCTGCTACTACTAATATTACAGCTGCTACTACTAAAAATACTGCTGCTGCTGCTACTACTACTACTACTACTATTACTACTACTAAAAAGGCAGCATCAACAAAGTCAAAGACGATTTCAGGTTACAATAATTTTGAACGCCTCCTGCATGTAAATTTTTTGTGGTGTATAAATTTATTGTTATATTTATTTATGACTCAATAATTAAAGGCGCCTGGTCTTGCTATTGCAATGACTGGGTTCGAATACAAAGAGATCCCCGCCTATCATATGCAATATGTATGATGCGTGGTTTGCACGCGTATTCATATACGCTGTGTGTGTTTGTCGTTGAAACCTCTGAAGCTAACGCAATAGAGAGAGTAACCTTTAACCTTTTATTACTATTATAAAATTATGAAATTATTCTTGATTATTTTATTATTATTATTATTATTATTATTATTATTATTATTATTATTATTATTATTATTATAGTAGTACAGTACTACAGCAATAGAGCAGTACTTCATATTTTTATTAGGGTCGGAATTGTCATTTCAGTAGCGCACCTCTATTCTAAACCCAGAAGTGCTCCCCGAAAAGCGGGCTACAGAAAAGCCTTGTTAAAAATTCTTTGAGAACATTTTTCTTCCTAAATTACATCCATCACGTCGTCAGATAGTCTTTTCTAGACTTTTGCTGAAGCCACAGAGAGACGACGTCTTTGTTGTTTTCTGCTCTGAAATTTGAAACAACAAGTTTTTTTTTAGTTGAAATTCTGAGCTTTTGCTCAAAAGGTTCTCTATCAGTTGTTGTAAATATTGAGGACCTTACCCCATCAGACTTGTTATTATTGCAGTTGCTGTTTGTTGTTTGCTATTTTTATTCGATAGAACATTTATCTGTTTGCAATCTTTCAATTAAACGTTTGAAATATTTTTCCGTTAATTTCAGAGGTTTTTTTAATATACGTGAGGAATAAATCGTCTGCATCCGCGATCAAATACATCAGCCCGGATAAGAAAGGTTATACATGTCGTTAAGAAATAACTTATTTTAAATATATAAAATAATATTGCATTACAAAACATTACATCAGCAGTACTTTAATTAAAAATATAATAACTTAGCAATATATTTACAATTTGAAATTTCGTTCACCAATAAGAAGCTTTTAAGTTGAACAATTTCTAAGAGTCCAAACTGTCCAATTTTTTATATTCTCTTATGTTATTAATATAATAACATTAAACATCATCAGCATATTAGTAACGTTACATTAATATTAACATCATCACATCAACACCACATCAACATCACATTCGCATCAACATATTTTTTGCAGTCTTGATGTCATTAGGAATGATCCTATCACAGCTTGTCATCAGCGTCATTGTCAGTTTCTATTTTGAATGAAATATGAAAAGAGAAAGATAAAGGGTGATTGTATGGGATAAATTATTTTGTCAGATTTTGTTAAATAAGCTAGGTAACGGGTAGTTATTAACTATAAACAGTTAACTGGCATTTATTATATACTAACTACATTATTCTTTAAAGATTTTAATAACTAGCCATTCATCTAACTAGAAAAAATTACAATTTTCGAGTTTTGAACATAAAATTTCACATAAAGACAACAATAAAAGATTTAATAAGAATTAAGATTTAAGACAAGAATTAATAAACAATTAAATTGTTTATTAATTCACACATGAAATTTGTTATTATGGGTCAAAATGTTCTCGTATGATTATAACTATTTTCGATGAAATGAAACACAACATAACCTGCGTTGTATTACGTCAAGTTAATAATTTTTAGACTGAATAAAAATTGATTTTATGTAAAAAACAGAAAAACAAAATTAAAAAAATATTCTCTTATCACGGTTTAATGTTAAAGTTCAACGTCATAAAATCCAAACGGTCGTGTTTCAATAAGGAGTGTATCGACAACTTCTACCTCTGTATAAATATAATAATAACCCTCTGTATAATAAGAGGGTACTGATCATACATGTTGAAAGCATCTGTGCATTTTTTCTTGTCTTTACACTTCGACTTTGGCTGAATAAGTAAGAGATTGTATACTTCATGTACTCGTATTGGCCAACCGTACCTGCAGGTTCAAATTGGCATATTCTCACTCTAGTATATATTTACGTAAATGTGTTTCAGTGAATTGCATAAAAATGATCTTGGTTTCAAATATTTGCTATTGAGATAGAAATCACACTAAGTCAGTGTTTTAACTCGAGCTTCTGATGAGTTGGGAGTTAGGATGAGTATCATAAGGCCATAAAGAACAAAACGTGTCTAGTCAAAATGAGCAAAGTGTTCACAGTAATGGTCCTTTGGTCGGAATGATATATGATATACTTAATGTACTTTTGCTGGCTAACCGTTTCTTCAGTAGCAGGCTGTCCAATTTTTACCTATCTCTCTTTTGTATATATATATATATATATACATATATATATTTATATATATATATATAGAATAATAATATATATATAATCTACAGGATTGCTTTTAATATTTTCAGAAATTTGTTTAAGTTTTAAGTTTTAGAATTTTTGTTGCAGTCAAGGTTTTAAAAATTAAAAATTTCCTCTCAGAAAATAAAAAAAATTTCTAGAACAAATTATAATTTTTAATTATCCGAATCTCTATATAATCAAGAAATTAATTTTCAAATTTTTATTAAAGTTCTTTCATTATAATTCTTTAAGGTTGGTTATGCAGGTTTCTTGAAATCAAAACAAAAATGGATTTAAAGAAAATTTTACGATATTCAAAACCATGAACTTATATAAAAACATTTAGAATCCTCTTTTGAATGTTGTTTTTGAATGTTTTTTTTGAAATTCAGCTAACTCTCCACTTCACCGAAACGCATGTACCTCTTGGTAATTTTCAGGTCTCGTTTTTCAATCACTGTTTCGTCCTCACCACTAACATCGTTGCCACAATCACCATCTTTGTACTCACCATCTTCATCATCTTGGTTGTTGTCGGTGTTGGTACTTTGCTTAAGTCGTTGATGCTCCATGATAGTGTCATCATTTGGTTGGTCGGTGTCGTCCAAGGTATCTGAAAGTTTGTTTGTTTGTTTGTTTGTCTATTTGTTGAAGATTTTGGTTGTGGTGATAAAAAGTGATTGTAACTTCCCCCTACTGTGTTTTTGTTTTCGTTGATATAAATGTTAAAAATTTCTTTAAAATCAATTCTCAAAAATAACAGCAAGGCAAAGCATGTCTGCAAGCTTAAATGCTCACATATTGTATATAAAGCATGTGATTGGCGACGATCAATTGCGTTCGAACATAGTTACTGCAACATTGGGACCGGCTTCTTTACACATTACGCTATCCTAATGTCATAATATTTCAAAATTTTATGGTTAAAATTTTGTTAAACAAGAAAAAATAATATTTCAAATTTAAATCAACCAACTATTCTATGATCATTTGCATTTTCAATATGTAATTTACATATCATTGTTGCATAAATTCACGACTACATTTTGCCCAAATTTACATTTGAAACATGAACTCATATACATTCATAATTTTCGCACTTTTCCTACAAATATTTTCAAATTTGTTATAGAAATTATTATCAAATCATCTTTGAGGAAGAAAAAATAATATTATTCTATTTGTTATATTATTATTAAATTTTTACATTATATAATATTATATTATTATAAAATTTAAAATAACATATGTAATGGAAATTGTTCCATTACATGATCACGTGGAATAAGTACTAGCACAAAGCACGTGTGCTTACCTAGGAGAGAGCGCCGTATGGTCACGTGGGTCGATTACTAGACCAAAGTACAAGCGCTTACCTAGGAGAGAGAACCGTGCATGCCTATAAATAGCCTACGCAAATAAGTTAGCTTTTTTTCCTTTATGTGGCTCTTGGGTCGGAGTTGACGTTAGTAAAATTGAGTATTGTATTGTTGCATTTTCATTACTTTGGTTTATTCGAATAATTATTTAGTTAGGTTTTAATAAAGGAAGATTAATAATATATCTGTCGTTGTGTTTAGTTAATATCGAACCCGTTACATTGGTACCAGAAGTGGGGTAGTTATTTAATTGGTGATTAATTAAATAACTAATAGGACGTTTTGACATTTATATAAAAAGATTAATTAAATACTTAGTTATAAGTTGTTACATTTGTTGTACGTTTGTTGTAAGTTGAGAATTCAGAATTATAATGGATCGATTGACGAAGATGAAACAACAAAAATTACAACGTCTGTCGAACGAACAAATAACAAGGAAGCTACTGAAGAGATCAATCGACGAAGCCAGTGTACGATTGATGAGCCGATCACAGCTGTTAGAAACGTGGGCAACAATTTTGGCGGACAGCGCTGATTCTCCATGCAGTGTTGCGGCGGAGGGCGCTGTGTCGAAAGATGCTGAAGGTGGATTGACCTTATACGAAAGGAAACAGTTAGAAATGGAGTATAGGCTTCGAGAAGCGGAGATTGGTAGACAAAGAGAAAAAGATGAGAGGGAATATAAGCTCAAAGAAGCAGAGATGGCCAGACAGCGTGAAAGAGATGAAGCAGAGATGGCCAGACAGCGTGAAAGAGATGAAGCCGAATTCAGGCTTAAGAGTCAAGAATTAGAAATTCGACGACTAGAGGTAGAAGGTATGAATAATCGAAAAGTGGCCAATGATGCTAGTGAGGATAATAACACGATAAAACTAATGCAACAGACTCGATTTTTCGCGGAGTCGTTAAAACATCTGATAGGAACGTGTCCGTTAGAGCCAAGAGATATTCCTGCATTCTTTGAACACGTAGAGAAAATTTTTCGAAACTATCACGTAGACGGAGAAATTAAAGCCAATTTGTTGATAATGAGTTTGAACGAAAAGGCCAAAACGTGGTTACATACTATTTCCGCCGACGGTCTGAAGGATTATAGCGAAATTAAAAGACTCATTCTGCAGGAGTTCAGGTTAAACCCGACAAAATTGAGAGATGAATTCTTTGCCCTGAGAAGACAGAAAAGCGAATCGTACACGAGTTTCGGGGCGAAATTATACGGCACGCTGAACCACTATTTTCAAAGCCGTAACATTACGGGATTAGAAGATGCAATGAAATTGATATGTGCAGATAGAATGAAAGAGTTGCTATCAAGACATACTCTGGAATTTATTTTGTCACAAGAGCAAGCAGCTTCCTGGATGAGTCCTGACGTGTTGGCACAAACGATCGACAAATATGAAACTGCCATGAACATGAAAGTTTCGAGCGACAATACATGTATGCCGGAGAGTATCAATCAGATACAATCATTTCGAGAAAATGAGCACCAGATGTATAGAAGTAGCAACAACAAATCAGCTTCACCCAAACAAACCTGCTTTTCTTGCGGGAAGATTGGTCATATTGCAAAGCACTGTACATGGAAAAATAGAATTACACCTACGGCCACTAGAAACGTCATGCGCTGTGAGACGGACAAAAAAACGCAGAGACCAGTTGAAATCGAATCACCAATAAGAACAAAGGAAGTTGTCATTGAAGCAAACAAATTTTATG